TTTGAATTTTTTTTGTATCCATCTCCTGACTTGTGCTTGTCCACAACTTTATCCCGGAGATCTTTGACAGTGCCTTGCCACCCATAGTTGATTGTTTGCTTCAGTTGCACTACCAAGGACTGAAATGCTCCAGGAAAGCTCTTTTCATGGTGAGCTAATCAAAATGATCACAGTTGAAAGTCAAATGGCTTTGTGTGCCATTGAGAAGGTGATTAGCTACACCTGATTGAGTTTACAAGTCATTTTTAGGAGGGGGGTGATCCTTTTTATAAATCAGTGATTCTGTTTTGTTTTGTTTTCTGACATGTTGGTGTTATATCTTTCACTTAGATGTTATAAGTTGCACTGAGTAAATACAACTAGATGAAACAAAAACAGTGTCCATCTTCATTTTAGGCTGCAAAGCAACAAAATGTGATTATTTTAAAGGGGGTGATTTTTTTCTATACCCACTGTACATTGTAAATGGTCCGGGTTTAATAAATGGCAATAAAATATAGCTTAAGTTCTAAACAAACTGTAATAGAACACCATGTTTAAATATAGACAGCTTATTCCTCGCTGCTTTGGGAACCCAAGTTGTTATTAATAGCTTCCTTTGTCCAAGCAAATACATTAGGAAAAACCAAATCCAGCAGGATCAAATTACCCATCTGGAAGCTTTTGCTTTGTCTACAATCAGCATTTATGAATAGACAAGCAATTGTGCTTACTTATGACTGAATTAAATGCATTGAAGTTTAGGAAAGTTCTGCATCTTCATGGAGTTGATGCAAGCAGCTCCAAAGTCATGGGTTTGATTCCCAGGCCACATAAGTACTGATAGAAAAGCATGAATGCACTGTAATTAGGGGTGTGCAAGTGTTTTTCTGCTGGTACCATGGCTGGTTTAGGATGATCTTTTTCATTAAGAGCCAATATTTGCCCCCTTAAATTGATTTCCAGGGGTATTTTTATCTTTATAAGGGCAATTTTTGTGTCTTTTATGTCAAATTCTTACATTTTAAAGAATACATTTAATTAGAAAAATAAGGCATCATAGGGCTTTTAGCAATCAAATTAAACCAGGATCAACAAAAGTCATCTGTGCTTTGCCAATGCGGCACAGAAGCTGCATCTTGTATTTACAATAACTGTTTAATGCAGTTCAGAGGTGGCCTGAATGCATTTACACTGTAATTACAATTGCAGAAATAATAAAATGACAGTAATGTGTTAAAATACAATGTTGAATATTTAAATGTTAAATGATTTTGAAAAGGAAATGATACTTTAAATATGAAACTTAAACTTCCAATCTTAATGAATGAGTCACTGAATTATTCATTCAAACGATTTGTTCAAAATGGCTGATTCGTTCAGTAACAAATGTTGTTATTAACTAATAATAAAACTATGAAACATTTTGTTAATTAAAATAAAAACCTGAAGTAATATGTAAATATTAGATGAAAAACTTTGAAATGTTAGAAATGATTGAAATTAGAAATAAACTAAAATAAAAGTGAAGTAGGGGCGTGTTTGTTTTGGGGATTTCAAATATCAACATTGGCTACCAGAAATCCCTTACTCTGCCTTTAACTGCAATAGAAGATAAAGTTGAAGTACTAAAATTACTAAAACTATAAACTGAAATAAAAAAAATAAATTTAAGCTAAATAGAAATATTTAAAAGCAACAACTAATAAAAATAAATAAGCACATACAAAAAAAGGTTAAACTAAAATTTAAATGAAATGAGAATTTAAAAAATAGACAAAATATTAATAAACACTATAATGGTATATAAATGATACTAAAACTGAGCAAAATTGGGATACTAAAATAGAAAAAGCATTTGCCAAATGAAAATCCTTTCATTTGTTATCTCAGAATAAAACCATCAACTCTACTAAGACTAATTATTACAACTCTTACTAAGACTAATTATTCTTTAACCAGCTTGACTGTCTCTGAGCCAAGTAAGGGAACCTTAGCAGGACTTGGCAGGGTGAGAAAGAGTAAACGTGCTTAATAGTCACTTTCCGTGGAGTTTGTTGGCTTAAGAGGGAGGACACCCCTCCAACGTTAATCTCCCATCCGTCTCTCTGTCTCATCACTGTTTGTGATCTATGAAACGGTTGAGGCTGATGATGTAGCTGACAGCCTATCTGAGAATCACATTTCCTGTGTGAATCCAGGTGAGAAATAAACTCAACGATCAGTCACCACAACAATGCTTCTTTCACTGTTTTCTCTTTCTCTGTCTTTCCACAGCGGAGGTGTATATTGGAATGGGAAAGGCGGCGGAGGCAACAGCGTGTACACAGGAAGCAGCCAACCTGTTCCCCATGTCCCATAACGTGTTGTTTATGAAGGGTCAGGTGGCGGAGCTGCGGGGGAACGTGGACGAGGCCAAGCGCTGGTACGAGGAGGCGCTGTCCATCAGCCCCACCCACGTCAAAACCATGCAGAGACTGGTGAGCACATGCTTTTTATCCACTAACTGAAACCCTTTTGCAGTTTTACATTTTTATTTTGTTTGTTGCTCCCCACAATGCAGTTGATTTCAGGTTTTACTCTTCTTGTGGGAACATTTGGTTGTGTGTTTGTGGGATCGCCACACTGAGATGGAGGAGAGAGGCAAGGTCTCATCCCGTGTTAGTATTTAGCAGACAATGAGTCCAGGATGTGGAGACTTGTCAGAGGAAGTGTGTGTGTGTGTGTGCTGCTGTCTTCGGCTGTGTGCCTTAATAGTAAGCAGAAATGTCATGTCTTATAAAGGAACTCCCCTGTAGTAGACAGCAGCAGGAGGAAGTATTGCCCTTGTCTCTGTCATATCTCTCTCTCTCTCTGACCTTCTTTTGTGTGTGTGTGTGTGTGTGTGTGTGTGTATGTGTGTGTATGTGCATGTCTGTTTATGTGTCTGACGCTGTTCTAAGAGTAGGACAGTGGACGGCATCTGAACTCTCAGAGCTGCTTAAACTACATTAACCCTTTGTTTGACGTTGGCTCATTTTTTAACTGTGTACTATAAAGAATATGTTAAAGGGTTAGTTCACCCAAAAATTTAAATTAGCCTGTGTTTTACTCACCCTCAAAGCATCCTATGTGTATGTGACTTTTTTCTTTCAGACGAATTCAATCGGAGTTATATTAAAAATTGTCCTGGCCTCTCCAAGCCTTTCAATGGGGGTAAGTGGGCCTTCTGTAGCGAATTCATGCGTTTTTGTAAGATAAATATCCATATTTAAAATGTAATAAACACTTTTTTCTCACTTCCGCTGACTGTCATATGCGGAAACCGTTCCGGAGGATGACGTAAGACGTCGGCGTTGTGTGATAAGTGACGAACGCAGAGACAAAACAAAACGCCATTCACGAATTAGAAGCACAAAACGAGGATTTGTAAAGAAAAATGTCGGAGGATTTCGATATAAGCCAAGAGGACACTGGTTTTCCTTTGCTAAAGTGAAACTTTGTTTCCTTTGCTCCTGCATTTACGTCATCTGCCGGAGCGTCTTCCGTGTATGACAGTCAGCGGAAGTGAGAGAAAAGTGTTTATTATTCGCTACAGGAGGCCTTTATTCACCCGCCGGAGCAGTGTGAGGGACGTTTTATTACGGATGCACGCACTTTATTTCACGTCTTCTGAACTGTTGACATCCAACACCCGCTTACCCCCATTGTAAACTGCAAGCGCAAGGCAATGACGCCGCTGCGACCGAATGCTTCCTCACTGCCCTGGAGCTGGAGGCCAGCTGTCCCATCTTACCTTTCACCATCATTCCCCGCACCCTCTGAGACACTCCGAACACTCACCACCGGCACAACCTCGGTCTGAGAGTCATGCATGAACCACAGCCCTTAAACACACACATAAACGCCCAAAAACTCCAAAACTCTTCTTCTGTCCTGGAATGCCTTTCCCACCCCCTCCAACCTGTTTACCGGTTCTCAGACGTGGATCTGCTGAAAAACTCGACACGGTTATCAGTGTGAACTTTTCCACACTGCTTCACTCTCATAGTTTTTTTCCTTCCTATTCCTTCCTTCTTTGTCTGCTAGAATCTCCACCGGCTTCTGTACATCGTAGAGGTGCCGCCCACCCTAAAAACCCCACTCCTTCCAACACTCTCATTGGTTAGTTACATACCACAGTACAAGTGGACCAATGGGAAACCTTTTCAAGCTGAACCAGGTGATTGACGCAGCGGTTTCTTCAAACCACAGTGCTTCCCGAAACATACAATCTTGAGATTCTAGTAGCTGTATGTCGTATAAACCAGTAATAACTCTGTCTCAGAGACAGTCAAAAGTGTGTGTACATGTGCTGTGTGTTAATGGACAGTCAGAGTGTGTGTGTCCTTTGTATGTGCTGATATCCAGGATATCCCTTCCTATGTGGTGTGTGCGCGTGTGTTTATTTTGAATGGAATACATGACACAGTGTTACAGTGGATCCCTGTTACACAAACACACGTAATAAAGGTTGTGTTTCCATACGGTTGTTCCTGAGGGCAGGTGTTGTCACCCATGTTATGACTCCTAGAGAAACATTACATCCCCCTTTGATCAAACACTGTATTGTTTATAGACTGTATGTACAAATGTATGGCCTAGAGCAAATGGAATGGATGCCAAAAGTACAACTATTCTAAAAGCAAATATTTTATCTTGATTCTCATTAAAAGAGAAGATAAATCTAGTTTTGGACATTTTGTTTTGTTTGTTGGTTTATTTTTCCACATTTATCATGATTCAGAGGTCAAGATTTATATTGTTGATTTATCAGAGACGTGTTAGATGTTTATTTATCTGTGTCCCAGTGGCCGTATGTTAGACGAGTGAGGACATACATGTATTCCGTGTGTGTGTGGTGTGTGACTGTTACAGATGGACACGTTAAACTCTGAAATGCAAACTCTCTTCATAACGGTCAAAGAGAATTCAGTCATGTACAAGAGAGAAGAGGAAGATTACGTGTGTATTTGAAGTCTTGGCAGTGTCAATCACAGGGCCAAACGCAACTGGAAATGCTGTTTTATGATGTCAATAAATGATAGATTGTGAAAAATCAGTGTTTTTTGTTATTCCTTATCACATTTCGAGTCATTTTTGAGGACAGCTAATATTGCTAATGGAGCCAATATATATATATATATATATGTGTGTGTGTGTGTGTGTGTGTGTAGTAATATAGCTAACTGTGAATCTTCTCCTAATTGCGACTTTATTTCTCACAACTGTGACTTTTTTTTTTTGGAGTTCACGTCACTTTATTTCTTATTTTAGGTGGGTGGGAACATTTTAGGCTTCGATACAAATTACAAACCTCAGTCTGTCCTCAAGGGGGCGATACAGCTACTTTCATGCCTGTGCCAGCATACTGCATGTATTATTCAGGTAACTAGTTATAAAAATATCAACTGTTTAACTAACTCTGACTGAAGGTACGTTCACATTAGCCAAATATTTTTCGTGCAAAAAAACTTTCAAACCAAACATATGTCTGTTGGTCAGTGGCAAATTCACATGGCCAGCTGAACCCGATGCGAAATCCGTTCTCTATAAATCTGTCATAACGTTGTCTCACCTTAAAGAGAAAATTGACCATATAAAAATACCATTTGTGCTAGTTTTGCTATAGCATCATTTGTGACAGTTTGTAGAATGTAATGCAAACTTCCGTTGCATTAGGAATTGCACTCTGAAATATTTCAAAGCACAATTATGTATGAAATGGAGCTTGCGTTTGCATTAACTTGTGAGTTTATAGTATGTTTCGGCCATACTTTCCCCTGTTTCATTTCTTTTCCTGTCATCCTCGTCTCCTTACATACCCTGCTCACCTCAGCTCATGTATGTTAGAAGAGCCCACTCTTTCCCTGACTTGCAGTATGGTTGAATACCTTTAAAAAGCTCTCAAAAATTGATGAAGGTCCAAAAGCTCACAAGCAGAAAAAAACTATACAGAAAGAAAGGATGAGGTCAGCTGTCTCTGAAAAGCAAATGAATGACATGGCCTAATAAAAAGGAGTCAGGGAGAAGGAAGGATGTGAAGTGGGAAATGTAGAAGGTGAATTATTTAATGCACTTACAGGCCTGCCTTAAATTAATGAGCGCTTACCGCTTGCTGCTTTACGGGACAGACCGCACTCCCAGGAGGATTCTGGGATGTACAAAAAGCTGCAGCAAGAGTTTGGTCGTTATTAAAAAGGTGCGTTTTAGTGTCTGCCAGAGTGTTTATGCCTCTTGAGACTACTTCTTCGACTTATTCCCGCTGTAAAGAGCTGAACATCGTAAACAGCCCAGTACAGCCACACGCTGACTCTTTGATCTGGGTCAGGAGCATGTTGAACCCTAATGAGCCCTCAGTGATGCATTATTCCTCTGGCTTCTGTAAACATTACAGGCTAGTCCTGATCTCTGAGGGGTTTCCTTTGATCATCTTCAGTTGTAGAGCACCAGCATAGCCTGAAAGATGGATGAGAGGTTTGAGATGCATTTCACTGACCATTGTACAATGCAGTACCTGATTGTACATCAGACCCCCAAACAAGACACTGAATTCATAGTGCTTACTAAGGCAGCTGACATAAGTGCACATACTTGTGGTTAGCAGTTTATTCACATCCTTAACCATAAATATTAAACTTCAGTGTGTGACTCATTTCTAAACACCACTTAGCAACATACCCTAACCAACGTAATGCCCTGGCAACCGCCCACAATACCCTAATAAACACTTAGCAATGCCCTAGCAATCATTCAAAAGACCATTACACTTAGCAACACCCTAGCAACCACTCAAAATACCATAACCAACAGTTAGGAATGCCTTAGGAACCACACAGAACATCCTGTTCAACACTTAGCAATGCCCAAGCAAGTATTCAAAATACCCGAACACTTAGCAACATCCTAGCAACCACATACAATACCCAAATAAACACTTTGCATTTAAATTACCCTATAGCAAAAAAAACAGCAACCACACGCACACTTAACAACACCCTGGCAACCTTCTACAATACCCTAACAAACACTTAGCTATGTCCTAGCAATCATTAAAAATACCCTAACACTAGGCAACAGCCTAGCAACCACCCAAAATACCATAACCAACAGTTAGGAATGCATGAGGAACCACACAGAACATCCTATTCAACACTTAGCAATGCCCTAGAAATAATTCAAAATACCCGAACACTTAGCAACACCCTGGCAACCACCCAAAATACCCCGATAAACACCTAGCAATAGCAAATATTTTAGACAAAAACCTATTAGAAGACCTTGGCAACTGCATAGCAACACCCTGGTGACCACCCAGCACTGATGCAGCAAGTTTTGCATGGGCAAGAATCGTGTTTGTGACATAATGTTCAGTAAGTGTCATTTGATTTAATGTAAGGTAAAATGCAATGTAAATGTTCAGTGAAAGGGATCATAAAATGCGAATATCTAGTGATTATAAATAAGTATGTGATATGGAATAAGCTTTCTCTGCGTGGTCTCTCTCCGGATGGTGGATCATGTTTCATTGGTATTATTGCTCTGATCCTGTCATTGATTGGCAGCCCAGCTCAATTCTCACATCAGATAGCAGCGAATCGATAAGAGAGACTCCAAAGGGAGTTTGATTTTTGTAGGGTGAGCTCACATTCTCACACGCCCTTATGAAAAAGAAGTTTATTCAAGTGTGCTATTAGTATACTTGCAGTACAAACTAAACATTTTGATGTAAACTAGTTGTGTACTCAAAGTTTACTACTGTTATACTTAAAAGTATACTTTTATATATTAGAAAGTGGGCCAATTTAGTCCCAATGAGTATTGAAATAGTACACTTACAAGTATACTACTAGTACACTGATATTTGTATACTTACTACATAAAGTATACTTTAAAATATACTTGAACTTTACTTAAGTATACTTACTAAAATAAACTTGAAGTATACTACTTTTTGGTAAGGGCAGCCATGGGAAAGTTTGTCTGATGTCCTGTCAAAACCTATACAGAACCATTAGAGACATAAAGGGATAGTTCACCCAAAAAAATTAAGTTATATCATCGTTTACACACTTTCCACTTCTGTATAAGTTTCTTTCTTCTGTTGAACACAAGATATGTTTTTAAGAATGTCAGTAACCAAACAATTGACGGTAGCCATTGACTTCCATAAAATTATTTTCCACACAATAGAAGTCAATGGCTACCGTCAATGGCTACCTTTATAGGGATTGTTCACAAAAAAATTTAGTTCTGTCATCATATTGTTTCAAACCCCACCAAATTAATAACCCCTCATTTTAGTGCAAAATCTCTGATGTTTCTGACATATTCCATTATTTCTTCAGAAGATCTGCTATAGTAATTGCCCATGGATCCATATGCCCTTTCCTCACATGCCCGTCCACATGTTCTCTGGCGATTATCCCACTGAGTGGTGTTGCCATTGCTCAAGGACATTTACTGTCATTTGTCCCAACAGTATTAGCTTAGCATATAATGCACCCATAGTTTGAACTGGCTTTGGGACATGTAGGGAAAGCATGTCTTAATGAAAGTGTGTGGGCCGGTGAAACAGGGTAAGGTGACTCCTCTAACCATGACCCCCACTGTTTCACAGACACAGAGTGTTGATAGCAATGTGTCATCTATCACCAGCAGATTAGTGAGTATGTGTGAGAGAGGGACACTGAAATGTTGTTCATTGTTTTGGAGCGTGTCAGTTCTTGGTGTCAGTGTCACACACTGGGCATTCTCAGGGGTCGTGACTCTTCACTCAGTTCATTGGATCCGCAGTCTTTACAGTCTTGCATTACCGTTTGGATCAGTATTGTGCCTTTTATCCAAATGTGCCTAACCAAATGTCTCTCTCATAGTCAGAATTCAGACATTTCAGAGATTTTTGATGGCTTATAGGTGACACCAAAGAGAACCACAATCTGTTTTCACAATCTGCTTTATTTTCTTTTCTTTTTTTTTCTTTTTGTCAAGTTCAAATCCAGCTTGCAAATCACTGTACTTTTGTTGCATGTCCCATTTTGGTGAAATTCATAAATAATACTCAGTAAATGTACTTTATTTACTGAGAGGGGCTTTGTGCATGTGTGAACACCAATTACTTCATTAACAACAGTTAAATTTATTGCTTCTTACAATTTAAAATGCATTTGATTAAACGCATTAACAGCAGTCACACCATTTTAATAATTAAAAAAATTAAAAAATTTAATTCATAGAACTTAAAACAGCATTATATATATATATATATATATATATACTGTATATATTCATTCAAATAAACACTTTATATACAGTTTTTTGTTATTTGTTTGTTCGTTTATTTCACTTTTTTATTACTAATTTTGGTACTTTATTGTGTCTTAAAATTCAATACATTGCTCATTACATAGTAGTTTCCGAATAACCAGGGAACCAGGAAAACACACGTAGCAGATGAGGAAGACATAAACAGACATTCACAATACCAGACGAAGAACTAAGAACCAGGAACACTCTAAATACACAGGAGCAAATGAAGATAATTAATAACACAGCTGGAACTAATGGAACTAATCAGGGAACATAATGGGAACAGGAAACAGGAAGGACCAAATAAGGGCAAGGAAGGCACATGGGGAGCAAAACACACACAAGACAAGGAACAGAGTCTGACATTACTCCCCCCTCCCAGAAGGCGCGTCCCATACCGTAACAATTCCACCAGGGAGTGGGGGTGGGCGCCCTGGATGTTGGTGCAGGACTGGGACACAGGGAATACCTCCAGGGCAGATCAGGCAGTCCAGGGTGCCATTGCGGCACAGGGAGCTCAGGGGCCATGGTGGAGCAGGCAGTTCAGGGCGCACATGGCGGAACAGGGAGCTCAGGGGCCATGGCGGAGCAGGCAGTTCAGGGCGCACATGGCGGAACAGGGAGCTCAGGGGCCATGGCGGAGCAGGCAGACTAGGAAGCCATGGCGGAGCAGGCAGTTCAGGGCGCCATGGCGGAACAGGCAGACTAGAAAGCCATGGCGGAGCAGGCAGTTCAGGAGGCCA